GTGCGTTTCTCTTCATCACTCACAAGCTGTAGAGGAGTTTGTTTGTTTGTTTTCCAACATTAAGTACAAGTCGCAAACTTGAGCTGCAGTCAATTAACTAAAAATTCAGGGAAATTAGTTTGGGTGTCTTATTTAAAAAAAAATGCAGCATCTCATTGATGTTTATTTTTCAGTACCCGACTACAAAGATGATGTACCCGAACTGTACGAGGGGGACATGGCATTAACTAAACAACAGGTCCACATTCTTAAGCTGTCACGTCCAAGCTTCAACAAGGGAGCAGACTGGAACCAAGAAGCTCAAACAAGAGGCGCCATAAGGAATATACGTCAACTCTGGCCAAACGGAATTATACCGTTTGAAATAAATCCACAAATCGGTACCTGATCATTTACTTTTCTTTCTTCAGACTCAAGTCTAGAGCCTCATACATGTATTCATAGTTGCATTTGAGGTAATGAATCGTAGCCGAAACCTTTTTGTCCTTCGCGTCGCCTTTTACTTCATGAATCATTCTAATATTTGGCTTAGTTTACATTTTTTCTTCAAATACACAGACGACAGAGGAAGGCAACTGATCAGAAACTCGATGAAAGATTGGGAAGATCATGTTCCCTGTCTCCAATTTAAAAAGAGAGGGCAAGAGAGTGGATACATCGAGTTTGTTTACAAGACGGGGTAAGTGGAGGGTGAAATTAACATTACGAAAGTAGCTTAAGGCATAGCCGCTACTTTTGACAGTTTGAGTATATTTCTTCTCAAAATATTGTTATTTACCGCCTCCCGGTTGGCTAACCGCCTCCCGGTTGGCTCAATTGCTTAGAGCGCCGGATTGTGCTGTGCGGGAGGTCGAGGGTTCGAGCTCCGGCCGGACCGATACTCATGGTCTTAAAATAAGTGAGGAGAATTTGCTACCTTTCTATAATCAAAAAATGGATAGATATTATAGTCTTCTCGGATAAGGACGAATAAACCGTAGGCCCGTCTCCTGCAGGGTTAGGGGTAGGAGAAGTTAATTTCCTACGCACGCGATTACTGTGTAGTGGATGTCCTCCCCTGGGGTGGGATGGATTGGAGTTGGCCTTAAAAAGCCCCCATGCCGGGAGTGGTCAAGTAACGTATGTATGTATGTATTTACAACTTGAAGTAAAAGAACCTATCGTTTAATGGATAAACAGTAAATTAAAATTGTAATTTCTCGTTGTATTCTTTACTTTCAATAGCTGCTGATCTTATGTTGGTCACGTGGGTGGACGTCAGGAAGTCTCCATTGGACGGTTTACGGAGTAAATTAAAAAGAGGCGTGCGTAATTAAGATGTATCCACATTATGTAACTGATATTTGCGATTTAGATAAATCCCTCTAAACAGGTCCAATTAATATTGAAAGGAGATCGTGCTAAGTTTCCATTTCCCCTAGTTGAGCTAAGTCTGATTGGAACTTCTTAGCAATTTTATGTATTGTTTATCCGCGTATCACATAGAAGAAACACTTACTACACTCTCGCTCATGAAAAATTTACGGAAAGACTGCTTCGCTGACTTTCAGTCCCTCATACAGAGACTGGGATCAAAACTACAGAGTCTGTTTTTGCCATTCTACATTCGTTGATCATCATCTCAACCTTAACTCCTAGAAGTGATTAACAGGAAACTTCTCCCTATAATATCCATACTTTATCAGGCAAACAGGTAATGAGAGTACTTAAACTTATCAGGTAGAAGTTGTTATCGCTATCTAACACCAAATTCTCATGGGTAACTCACAAGGAAATGTGTAGCAGCTAGATGAGAGAATTAACAATTTGATCTTGCGAGTTAGAGGGTTAATTTCCCCGTTATTAAATCAGTACTTCCGGTTTCTGGTTCAACATACAGCATTTCAATAGTCCTTTTTACACTTGTGGGCTTTGTGGCCAAGCCTTTCAACAGGAGTGAGGCCAAGGGTGACCTTGTTATGATAGAGATGTTGCTGCTTTTCAAATGCAAATTTCTTTGTTATCATGCTAACTAGATACAGGTCTCTATCACAACAGGGTCACCCTTAGCCTCACTCCTGTTCAAAGGCTTGGCCACCAAGCCCACAACTGTAAAAAGGACTATTGAAATTACGTGATAACGATTGCGATCGGCTGAGAGCTCTGATTGTTTGTTAGTCTCTGCGCATGATTTGCTTTGGATCATCGCAGTAGCCGGAGGGGCTACTGAGTTCACTCGATTTTACGGAGTTTTAGCATGTACTAAATGGACTTAAAAATTCACTGAAATCAATATGAAATTAATTGATAGAATCTAGAAATGTGAGGGAAAGGTATGGAGACGTCAAAACGGGATTTTTTTGTCAGGGAGAAAATAAAATAAAAACAGGTTACCTTGGGTATTGAAACTTTCGGGGCCCGAGTTTGAAACGTTTAACTTAGTTTGTGAGAAAGAGTTAATTGTGATGCCCAGAAATCTTCCTTGCTTCATATTTGAAGGAACTGCAGTTTGAAGATCATAACTCTCAATTTACGGAAACAACGAAATTACCCGCAACACTATGAATTAACTTCTGTAACCCTGACTGATAAGTTTTGAAGAAAAGTAAAATGTTCAAACCAGAATATGGTTTTAAAATTGTTAAAGGGATCCTCCCTGTGTGCAAGGATCAATCACTCACGAGTTAGGACACGCCATCGGATTTTTTCATGAACAGAATCGACCTGACAGGGATGACTACTGGTCAGCGGACATACATACATACATACATACATACGTATTATGACTTTATGTGGAGAAAATGGGTTCGTAATTAAGGAAAAGATTCCATTTTGCATTTCCATTTTTCATGATAACTGTACGCTCGTACCGGACACATTTGCCTTTACAATAAACACAGCGGTAAAATGATTTGATTTTAGAGGTCGCCAAGATTAATTTTCGCCTCAGTTTCTATTTTTTCCTTGATGTGAAAAAAAACCGAAACACGTATATCGTCAAACAGATCAGAAGGAACAACTTAGCACAGAGCGCGTTGAATTGTGTTCAATTGAGTGAGCGAGCCACGTTATATGAAGTTTTCTGTATCAGTTTTCATGATGGATTTTGAACCAACAGTTACATCTATTCTACAAAAAGTCATAATAAGGTCGAGGTACAATGTAATCGTAAAGCTGTGATAAATTTCCATCCATACCTCAGTATGATTTGATAAGTCTAAACTGGAGCACATGCTAGAGAGGAGTTGGCGGACGGAGATGTCATCAAATTAATATAGAGAAAACTGCAGCTGCGCGCTGTTCTAATACTTATTGTGTTAATCAATACAACGACATGGTCCATTTTCTTGTTTCCCTTTAGGAGCAGACAGAAACTTTGCAAAGACTGAAGAAAATATAATCGACAGTCGAGGGCAGCCATATGACTACGGATCGATCATGCACTATTCCAAGTTCTCCGG